GGGAGAAGGAGAAAAAGCCCCCTCAACTCCCTTCCCCCCATGTACCACCCCAGTTATGTGAAATTCCTCTCGACCCTTGAAACCAGAGCCAGTTCACAAATTCAACCTGCTTTTTAAAGGCGAGTTTATTTAAACCCCAAGTAATGCAGAACAAGAGTAATGCTAATGATAACAATTAGACGGAAGCTTTTTTGGTTTGTATTGATTTGTATGTTGGTCTCCTTCGCAACCGTTGCGTGTTTACGCCACAGATCACGCCTCCGCCCTCAAGGGTAGGGTGACAAGACCTAAGCTCTGGGAGTGAGGCCCTCGAAAAAAGGGACCACAGACTAGGCCCAGGAGTATGACTTCTGCGTTGCCTCTCTACCTGAGTTCCCCGCGGCGGTAATATCAGTTTTTTTTTTATTCACGCGACAGACTTCGCCGAAAAGGAGGGAGTGCTCGCTGTCTAGACAAGACTAAACAAGGGCTGCGAAGGATGTAGAGTTGCGATCAGTAAATCAACTTTATTCGGAGTTAATGAAAACATATTACTACAACAGACAGCAAGGCTAGTGTATGTTTTCTTTCTATCTAAAAGTCATCTCTTGTTTTCTGTTAATCTTTCCAGGGGGATGTGCGTTCTGCAGTAATAATCAAAGTAGAGCCGTTGCATGTATTCGCAGCCTTACTAACTCCAAACTGTAAGTATCGGTAACAGTTAAAAGAGATGTGGATTTGATGAAAAAAATTAATGATAAGTCGTAAACGTTGGATGAACAATTTACTAAAATAATTGAATGATTTTAGCAGATTGGCAAGATGAATCAAAACGCTATGCACAGCTGATGCATTTAAAAAAGTTTCGTTTCTTTCTCTCCGCATTTCTTGGAACAAAAGAAAATTGACGTAATCGTAGAGCCTACGGATGAAGTTATTCATGACACAAAATTTAAACCATGATAAGATGATACCCATTCGCACGGTTTTCTAGATATTCGCTCTGTCGAAGGGCTAAGGCTCGAAACACCAGCTTTGACACCCTTTACGGTGGTCAATTGACATTATCAACTCAGTTGATAAAACCAAATTACCTAATTTCTAGATTTCTTGAATCTGGCCCACATTGTACACTTTCTATACCCCCAAACAGATGAGACGTTTCCAGGCTTTCTCATCTTTCTACTTCGGACCTCTCTCTCTCTCTCTCTCTCTCCCCCTCTCTCTCCCCCTCTCTGTATGTTTTGTTGGTTTTGGTGAAAAATAATACACAATCAATTTCAGTTTTTTGTAGAGGGACATATCAAGGTTTGGAATAAGTTTCCAGTTTTGTTGCAATAACAAAATTAACACAACAATCAAGGGTCTGGTAGCCATTTCTCCTGACTGGGCTACTTTTGTGTCCTCTCTTTAGGGTCCATATCAAATGAAGAGACAACAATGGTCTCAGGAATACTTGATCTTCTTGAACCTGGTGATGCAGTTATGGATGACAAAGTATCTGTGAATCATAAATCAATCACGCAGTAGTAGCTTTAAGCTAATAAATGAAGCAATGATTATGAGTACAATAATAATGTCACATCAATTGATTACAATTGAAAATAATTGTAGGCTGGGGCATCATAAATTAAATTAAATTAAATACGTAAACTTTCTTGTCAGGAGCGCAACCAAGCCACGGTGACGTGGAGTCAATTATCAGGCCAGAGGGGTACAAATTCACTTTCCCCTTTTTACAATGTTAGCATATGTCATAGCAGCAACAGGTTCCAAGTCATATCCCTTGGCATGTCTGCAGCGAACACTCCACGGCTTAGGTTCAGCTGGGTGACCAAAGATTCAAAAGTTGTTGTTCGTTTTTGCAGCTCCACCAAACTTGCTTGCCGTAATTCTTTTCCGGCGTAGATGATACCACATGTCACTACCACTTTGTATGATTGTCTTCTTTTTAAGTTCAGCTCCTTGCCGTCAGGTTGTTACTCTTAAAGTGCCCCTGAGATCAAAATTTTCGTACATCATTTTTTTCCATTTTCGTGTTCAGTGTGTCTCCTTCAACTACTCTGCCAAATTTCAGTTTAGACCAAGCACCAGAAATATCTTTTTTCGGGCCGTTAAATTCACGATTTCGCGTCCGCCATTATTTGATCATGTTCCGGAAGTTGATCGCAGGACTCAGAGGAAGTGACGTCAAAGGCTCAACGCGAAAATCTCACATGGCAAAATGTCAAGCAAACATAACAGAGTGCTTTACTCTATTCTTACAAAAACTAAACAAAAATGACTGGGCATCGATGCGTAATTCAAAGCTGAAGTAATCGTGCAGACCATGCTGCAGGTATTTCTCTGCATCGGAGCCTTGCAAATAGATCAGAGCGGGAAAAACGGATGCGATTTGTGCGACCTCGCCGAGTAAACTTCAATCCTACAGAAATATTTGTGATCTACTCCGAACACTTCTCGGAGGACTGTTTCGAGAGATCTGTGTACTTTGAAGGATCTAGGCGAAGAATTCTGTCGGGTTCAGTGCCTACCGTTCAAGAAGAGAAGGGACAAGAAAAACCGTCCTCAGTGCGATCTCGACGCCGGAAAGCGAAGTCTACGAACCTCCACGGATTTTGTCACCTTTACATATGAGCTGATCAATATCCACCTTTAACAACTCTCTGGCAGAATACCTTACACAAAGGAAAGTACTCGGTGAACATTGTAAATAAGAATGATAAAATAGCCGAATTGAGGATTGAGATTTCTGACCTCAAAGAGCTCACTTTTATACAAAAGAGATGAAAAATATAATTGTGTGCTCTGATTCTAAAAAAAGCTGGCTTTAATATCAGCGAAAGCAGAACAAACAGCTTAAGACACAGAGCGTAAAAACACTTTAAAATGTAGGCTTGCAGCCAAAAAACCGAGAAAATGAAAATTTCTTTAAAAACCTGTCAAACTATCAACCATCTGACAGCCAAGTCAGCGTGCTATCAAAGGGTCTCAAATTCATCCCAACGCCCGTGACAAACGAATTTAAAATCAGGCCAACTTTTGCGAGATTTATTCGCAAGACGAATGCGCCTCCGTTACACCTTTCACGGACAAAACAAAGAACCACTTCTGTTTCATATCAAACTGAATGCCACCGGTTCAGTCTTCTATCGCCCTTCAGAGCTACTTGGAAAATTGTCATAACGCTACTTGCAGACTGCATCTAAGCCAAAAAATACTTTGTAACGCAATGAGGTCACGGCTCTAAAAGAGTTGAAACAAACTCTGCTTTAAACCTCACCGAAGCAACACAACAATAGTCATCATGAATAAGACAGAAAAAACAAAAGAGGCCAAAGTGCAACTCAACAACAGAGTTCACTTCAAACCTCTCAAAGCACCGATAGTAAAAAACACGTAGGAAAGGGTTAATGAGATCATTGACCAAATGCATCGGGGAAAACACATTGATGGCTTAGAAATGGCTTTCACAAACTCCCAATATCCGCCTTCGGATACACAATTAGCCATTGCCGAAAACTATTTTTACTAATCACCCGATCATTTCTTACAAAAAAGGAAAATCCCTTACGACAAGCAAAAATACAGTTCGAAGGCGATAAAGCGATGCGACCACAAAAGCCACATGGGGAGTTCGTGCCGTTCTGTGTTTATCGTTATTCGCATGGCAAAAATTCATCGTTTGTCGGCGCAAAACTATCCACAGAAGCTTCCGATGATTTCTGGGACAATGTATCATCTGAAAAAGTCGACATTTCCCGACTGACAACGAAACAGTTCTCAAAAAAGTAATATGTACGATTCTCTGTGCAGCGAACAAAGAGAGTTGTGACAAAGCAAAGCATAAGTTTGTTGAGCCTTTGACGCCATGATGACGTTTTTACGGGCTCGGCTAGAACATGTTTTCAGCAATGGCGGACGATTTTTGGACAACTTTGAAGCGGTAAAAATTGGTCATCGAAGGTTTGTTTCGAGTTTTTAATGGCAAAAAGGGTCTTAACTTGACCCAATTCAACATTGTGTAAACAATTTAAGCCAAAATAAAATGGTCAATTTTCGTCTCAGGGGTACTTTAGAGAATCCAAGTTAGCAAGCTGAAATGTTATTGGAGAACCTTACACCAGCTGTTTCAAGCGGGAGGTCAGGGAAAAATGTGCAGAAATAGTCGCTAATTACGTACGCTTTTGTTAGTTTTTGCCGATGCTGCCTTGCGTTACATTGCCAAATAAAGTAGCAACTGGAGATATTAACCGTATTCTGCTTGGTTCTAGCAATGTCGTTGCCAAAAGTGGTTGTGATTGCAAAGAAGACACCATTTCGGTGGTCAAGAGAGGATAAATTGTTGTAGGAGAGTACAAGGTATTCTTTACAAACATATCTAATATACCCACGGTTGTGGTTTCTTTACCATTATGTCCTGAATTGCCTTGTTAACAATTTTGCGGCTAACAAGGAACACTACACATCTGTGGAGGGCTTGCACATGTGCGCTCGTCTCGCAGTGCCTTATGACCAAGCCGCAGAATCCACTTGCTCCTGCCACACAGGAACAGCTTCCGCTGACGGTTTTATCTTCTAACCCAACAACAACACTCAAGGTATGTGGAAACTCACTTTCCTTCTTA